CGGCTCTGATTTGAGTAGGGTCTGCTTTGATGCCTCAGTTCGTGACTAGGAACCCCAAAAATTTTCCGGATCCCATGCCAAAGGCACACTTTGACGCATTCAAGCGCAGCTTGTGCTTCTTTAGAATGGCAAACATCTCGGCTAAGTCGGACAAATGGTTTGCCTCATGTCGGCTCTTTACCACCATATCATCGATGTAAGCCTCCATTGTCCGGCCAAGCAAAGGAGCAAACATTTTGGTCACCATCCTCTGAAAAGTCGCCCCTGCATTCTTCAAACCAAAAGGCATGACTCGGTAGCAAAAGAGTCCCCTCGGTGTAGTAAAGGAGGTGATTTCTCGGTCGGGGCCATGCATGGCAATCTGATGGTAGCCGCGATAGGCATCTAAGAAACTTAACCTGTTATGTCCAGCCGTCAAATCCACAAGCTGGTCAATTCTAGGCAAGGGAAAGCTATCTTTCGGACAAGCTCGGTTGACGGTCTTGTAATCAACGCAAACCCGCCACTTCCCATTTTTCTTCGATACCACCACTGTATTTGAGATCCAACCAGGATAGTGTACTTCTTGAATTGCTCGTGCTTCTAGCAAATTCTTGACTTCTTCCGCAACTACCTCGGCTTGATGCAACGCCGATCTCCTTGTCCGCTGAATAACTGGCTTGGCACCGGGGAAGACATTGAGATGATGACAAATAAAACTAGGATCGAGGTCGGGCATGTCGTAAGGCGACCATGCAAAAACTTCGATGTTGGCCATCAAAAACTCAACCATCTCGGTCCGTTCTATGGCCGTAAGGCTTGAGCCGAGCAAGAAGAACTTGTTCGGCTGTTTTGTATCAATTCGCACCTCTACCAATTCCTCGACAGCTTTGTCTTTGGCCTTGGTGCCCACATCATCCAAGACACCCTGGTCCTTCGGTTCCTCAATCATTTGAACGAATCCTTTGGCAGCCCGGCTCCCGTTGATCGCCACGAAGCACTGCTTGGACATGACCTGATTGCCCCAAATCTCCTCGATGGCCCCCATAGCCGAGGGGAATCTCATTACTTGGTGGAAAGTCGATGCCACGGCTTGCATAGCGTGAAGCCACCCCTTTCCAAGGATCAAATTGTAAGTAGATGGCACTTGTAAGACCCAGAACTCCACCTGTTTGACCACGGATCCCGCTTTGACCGGCAAGATAATCTTTCCCAAAGGCCACTCAGGTTGTGAGTTGAAACCAACCAACGGCGATGTCGCCGGGGCCAAATCCGTATCTCGGAGCTTGAGCTGTTGGAAAGCGTCGTAGTACATGATCTCGACCGAGCTTCCCTGATCGATCAAGATCCGTTTCACTTCAAAGTCTTTGACGTGGAATGTAACTACTAAGGCGTCATTATGCGGTGTCTGAATGCGCTCCAAGTCCCTCGAGGAGAAACTGATCACTTCTTTCGCTTCCGTCCTCCCCCTCTTGAGCGCAGGCTGAACTGACAAAACTTCCCTCATGTGCTCTGCCTTTTTTATCATACCACGGAGCTCGCAAACGCGCGCCGGTTCCACTATGCCGTGGATGACATTCACAACCCCTTGAGGAGGTGCATCTCGGTCGTCAGGCCCCCGCGGATCAACCGGAACTTGATTTGCCTTGACGCCCCCATCAATGTAAAGATCCAGATGTCCGGCCGCGACTAGCTCTTCCAGGTGTTGCCTCAATGGCAAACAATCCTCAGTCCGGTGGCCTCGCTCCCGATGAAACGTACAACGATACCGCGGATTGTAGCCCTTTTGTCCATCGCCCAACTTAGCAGGAAACCGGACATACTCCTCGTCTCGGATTTCACTAAGTATGCGATAGATTGGAATCTTGAAGACCGTGGTTATGCCAATCCTTGCCTTCAACCTTCTGTTTGCGTCCGCTACGTCATCTCGGGGGTAGTCATCCCGGTCATTCCGACGTCCTCTACCCTGGTTTTTCCGATTTGATCCACGGTCCGATTCCTCAGCGCGGTCAGAAGATTGGCCGGACTCCTGTCCGACTGTATGCACTTTTCCAGCCTTCTTGTCTATCGCTGCTGGAACTGACTTTGCGGTAGACGCCGACGCGTCATCCTCAACTCGAATATGCTCATTGATGCGTTGCATGAGTTGGCCCATGGATGTCGGCTGGTGCATGGTAAGCGAGTCCCGCAGTCTATGTCTGACCGGAAGACCATGCTTGTATTGCGTGATTGCAAGGTTGACAGGGCAATCCAAGATCTCGTTGAAGGTTTCCCAATACCTTGAGTTGTATGCCTTCAATGTGTCGCTCGGTTCCATCTTGACACTAAGTAAATGATCGACTTCTTTTGGTGTTTTTGTGTTGGTTTTGAAGCGCGTCACAAAGGCTTCGGCCAACTGATGCCACTGCTGTATGCTTCCTTCCGACAACCTCTCGAACCACTTCAAGCCCAGCTCGCCTAAACTCGACGGGAAGATCAGGCACATAAGTCCGTCATTTCGCCTATGTCCGGCCATAACCTGTCGGAAGTGGCTCACATACATGTAAGGATCGGTTTTTCCATCGTAGAGTGTGAACTTAGGCTGGTGGAAGCCTGCCGGAAGCGGTGTTGTTTCTATTTCCAGGGAAAAATGGGTGGCACTCAACGTGGCCAAATCTGAATCCATTAGGAGTGGCGCTGCTTGGCGGGGTGGAGGCATTCCGACCTCTTCGCTGGCGTGAACCCCGTAGGATAACCGCTGGAACGCCGGTATCCTCTGAGCTTCGCGCCGGCGAGCCCGCTCCTTCAAGACCGCCCGCAAATCCTCCGAATGAGCGGAGTAAGAGTACCACGATGTCGTCACTGGACGTGAGGGCCGGTAGGTGCTGTCTTGCGCGCTAGACTTCTCTGCATACATGTCGGAATCACCAACGTGGTAGCTTCTGGTGATAGAAATGGATGGAGTGCGTCGCTGACTCTGTCCGCCTGAACGGCGGGATGGGGTGCGCTCACTGTGGTCACCCACTCCAGCTACACCTTTCCCTTTAACATGTCGTTTGAGCTCCTCCATCTCCGCTGCCATTCGCCGGATGACAGCGGCTTGGTCCCTCAACTTGTGTTCCAGACGTCGGGCATGTGATTCTCTCTACCGCCGATGACCGTCCAGACTTCGTGAATGACCATAACTTCTTCCGCGCTTATCCCGCATGTCTCCTGACTGTCCTCTGGTGGGCGTCTCCAAGTCCGCCATTGGATGGATGGCGGGAGGTCCCTCCCTCCTTCGGGTATACTCCGGGGTGGCTCCGTCTATGGAAGACAACGGAAACTCATCGTTGTTCGCCATGGACGGCGATCAGACGAGCCTGGAAGACAAGGTTTTATCTGTCAAGCTTCCCACAGACGGCGCCAATTGTACGGGGAGCAAATATTCAGGCAAGCCCGTACTCCTTTCTTCCGAGCTTCGTTACTGTCCGATCACCTGCGAGCAAATAATGGTGAGCTACCCGGCGGTGTGTGGCCGGAAAACCCCTCCGACGATCAAGTTAGGACACACACACAAGGGATAGATAGAGAGAAGGGAGAGTGTTGAGTGTAAGTATTACTCTTACCAAATGTTCATCTGTCCCCGTATGGAGGGCGCAGTCATGCTTATATACCTTCTGCGCCCCAAATCTACTCCCAGTGATCTCTCAACACGTGGCACTGCTATCCCATCTGTCAGCATAAACCTTGCTGAGCACCACCTAACCCAACTGCCTGCCCATGCTCCGGGGAGCTCGGCAGCCGGGCAGTATCATCTCAGCCATCGTCTGCCATGTTGCGTTTCATGCCCAAGTACTCCAACAGCTAAGCTCAGAGGAGGACTGGACTCGGCGGCATCTCGGCAAAGCCGAGCTCGGGACTACTCACACTTGTCTGCGGTCGACCTACCTGCCGAACAAACAGGTACCTCGGTCCAACCTTGCCTTTTCGGGCGCCGGTCACTTAACTTGACTGGCTTCGCCTCCGCCAAACATGTAGCTCGGTCCAACCAAGCGTTGCCTTAACCGAGCAACTTCTTTCCAAACTAGGCCACACATCCTCGGCCCAACACTTGCCCGACCCAAATCTGTCCGGCAAAACTCTGTCTGACCTAGATCTGTCTGGCCCAGTACCAGATCATTAATCTCCCTCTCAAATTTAAAGAAAGAATTTATATCAAATTAATTTTTTTTTTGAAGTGGGGAATTATCAAATTAATTTTGTTTTTGAAGTGGGGAATGTTTGGAGATGGTTTAACATGATGATAGTAGTACCTAAAGAGGTATGTAGTGTGGTTAGAATGATTTGAGAGTAAAATTATAAATTAATCGGTAAATGACGGATTGACAAATAATTTAAACCGCGGTTTGGAATGGTTTCAATTCACTAGTTGATTGAAAAATATTTTTAAACAATTATCAAGTATTTGCAGAATATATACCACTAATTTACATAATATTTGTTATACATATAACACAAACTAATTTTACATAGAAATTTTATGACAATTGATTTACAACAAATTTCACATTTTTAAATTTTTCCCATACTCTTTTTTTTTTTTTTTTTAATATTTCATTAGATGTTAAAAAAATGTATGTATCAACTATAGCAGAACGGAATGATTTCATTGGTAGTGTTACATACATCAATTAATATACTAACTGGTGTACCAACTAATATTGCGTGACCCTATTTATTATACAAATTATAAATACTTAAAATCTATAAAATTATATTATATCATCTATTAATGCACTAATTACACATATATCATTATTCTTTTAAAATATGACTTCATGGGTTAAAAATAAAGCAAGACTTTATTGTGGGTTAAAAACGGTAAATCGGGACTTTTAAAAGGTTCAGGGCTTTTCTGGGTTCGTTTCCTTCTCTCTTTCTTGATCTAGGGCTTGTATCCGTGGATCATCACAACTGTAAGTTGCCAATCCAGCTGTCCTCTCTCATTCTCAAATTCTAGGGCTTTTCATCGATTCTCTGCAACTCTAAACCCCAATCCTATGAACCAGTGTCCTCTTCCTCTGATAACAACGTCAGACTACATACCCAATGAACTATTAATTGAAATTCTTGCAAGACTACCTGTGGATTCTCTACTTCGATTCACATCTGTCTGCAAATCATGGTACTCTCTCATCACAAGCCCTAGTTTCATCACCAAACACATCAATCAAACTATTACAGACAGGAAAAGTAACAGTGACAAGCTTATCCTTAGACTTTTCACTGATAATGTTTTGTGCCCTGATGATGAAAATTTTCCTGATGGTTACTTACCTTTCCCATTCAAAAGCCCAAATGGGTATTTTAGGATATTTGGTAGTTGCATTGGATTGTTATGTTTATGTGATGATTATTATGATAATTCCCATGATCATTTTTATGGTGCCATTGGTGATGCTTCCCAAATTGTTCTATGGAACCCATCAATTGGAAAATCGGTAACTATCTGTATGCCTTGTAAGCCACGGGGCTGCTATATGTTTGTTCTTGGATTTGGTGCTCACCCCACAACTCATGAGTACAAGGTGGTAAGGCTTGTGTATTTGATTACCTATTCTTCTCATTTCGCTCCCAAGGTTGAGCTTTTCACGCAAGGCACAGGGTTATGGAGATGCATTGATTCTGCTACTCCTCCACATTGTATGGTTGAATTTATGTGGTCTCAGGCTTTTGTGAACGGAGCTGTACATTGGGTTGCATTTGATCCGTGTGTGGTGGATGGTTTTCGCAATTTAATATTGTCATTCAATATGGGTACTGAAGCCTTCTCTGAGATGATGCTACCTCCTACTTTAGCCGATGAACATCCATCATGCTTGTCCGTTAAATTATTTGGAGAATCATTGGCTGTGTTTTGGAGCGGACAAATTAGCGCAGGTTTTTGCTGCATATGGGTGATGAAAGAATATGGAGATGCGGAATCTTGGACTAAACTATTCAGTATAAATCTACCGGATGTGTTGGACAAGACATTGGGATTTAGAAAGAATGGTGAAGATCTATTATCAACAAATGAGAACTGGTTGCTTTCTTATCACCCTAGAACCCAAAAAATGACAAATACTGGAATTGTAGGGAATTCTTACTCACTTAATGTGGATGTTTTCATGGCAACCCTAGTTTTAGTGAAAGGTGAAAATGGTGTCTGAGTGGGACAGGTGAGCTATGTTTCCAACTTCTAAGGGAGAAGGGGATACAGTTGACAATGAAATAGTTATGAAAAAAAGTAAGTGAATGAAAAGAAGGATGTGGGAAACAAAATCAATATTTTTTGTTTTCAACTTTAATCACTATATTTCCTTCATTTGTTTCTGATCCTTTTAGATATCTTGGAGTGAATCCCAACCATGCAGTAACCTTAAACCTTAAAATTGTGTCAATGCACACACAAAAACTCACTCTTTTGAATGTTATAACATGTTCAGATTGCTTTGTTTTATTGGCTCATCTGTAATCCATTTCTTACAAACCGATGTTCATTACTTGTTCTTCATTAGTTTTCGGGAGCTAATTATGTTTGATTTCTCACCCTTTTTTTCTTTAACAAGTTGATTATCATACAATTGAAGTTGTGGTTAATATTTTTTCTTGGACTGCACCATTTAAGAAACTGTGATTGATTCTGTCAAATGCCTTGTTGCACTTTGTTTTGTGGTATTGATTGATTATTATGCTTTTCGGTCACAAAAATCTGTTATTGGTTTTCATTACTCAAAGCCGTTTTGTCCCTAGTATGGGATTTATAACGAATGGTATTAAAAACCATAGTGGATGGTGGTGGGAAAAGAATCATTCATTGAGTAGATGAAGATGATGAGGGTATTGATGTCAATTTACAAGTACCATTAACGGAAGCTAGTGGTACTTTTTAGTCCAGAAACCATGGGGATTTACCTGATTATTTTTTAATGGGAGGGAGCTTATGCACACATGGCCCAAACCACATGGTGGTAAGGTGAAATTTCTCCTATTTTTTATTTGTCGCCACGTTCTCGCAAATTCATGTCATATTATTATTATTATTTGAAAATTGTCTTGTTAGTCCCCTCTAATACATCTCAATTAGTTGCTAGATGTAACAATTTTGTTAATTCTTTATCAGTTTAGATTACTGAATCATATAGGGGATTCCAATGGCTTCAGTGAAGCCAAGGGGACCCAAAAAAAAAAAAAAGAAGAAGAAGAAAAACTAGCAGAAATATCTCCAATCTGGAGTCTCACAAGCTAGAATTTGTTGCATCCTTTGAGACAGCCTTAGCAAGGTCTGCAGGTGAGTACCTCCTTGTAGTGCCTCATGTGCTAACTGATTTGCACACTCTTTTGCTTCTCTAGGAAAATATGCTGGATTTTACAGTCAAATTCCTTCACAAATTCCTTCATCTGTAGCACCAAATTGAAATTAGGATGTAAAGAATTTGGACCTTGCAACAAACTCACTGCATCTTGGCAATCCATCTTCAAGATGATCTCTCTGCATCCACTTTGCCAAGCCAAAAGTAGACCTTGCCATACTGCACATAACCCGCCGTTAAAGCATGAGCCCACACAATTTTTCTGAATGAATCCCACCACCCAGAAACTGGCACTATTTCTAATCAAAGCCCCTACAACCGCTAGTCTTGGATTACCAATTGAAGTGCCATCTGTGTTTACTTTTAAATCCAACTTTTGACCATGGGAAATGTCTAACCTTAATTGGCCATGCCTCTAAACTCTGTGTTGCATCTTCTGGTGCTCTTAAACAGTTGAGTTCTGAATATAGTTTGTGACGTCATTAGGTTCTAATTTCTATCCGTTGAATGGTGCTCTGTTGTGAAGTAAGTTGGGATAGCCAGCATAAGAACTTTTTTATTTTGTTTTTTAAGAATTCTTTCGTATCTTTCAAGTTTTATTCCTCTCTGCTTGTCACTACCTTGTCTTGGGCCGTGCAGCCTCCTGGCTTCAAAATTTTATTGAGCTTCCTTGCCTACTATTCATGTCATTTAAGATATTGCCAAGTTGCTTTCATATTACTTGGAATATTTCTGCTATATGTGGCTAGCAAGAGGTAAAATTACCCTATTTAGTATTAGATTCCAAAGAGAATATATCATATTATAGGATGAGTTTTCATGTGCATATATCATATTCTACTCTGGTTACCTTACCTTAGCTTTTGTTTGCTTGTGTGCACTGGGGTTTGTTATTGAAATTGAAGGCTCTTGTTCATTTCCATATATTAGATATCATTATTATATATTTGAATCCAACTTGCATTACAAGTCCACATCTCTCAATATCATAAAATCAAGAAATGACCTGAAAGGCTCAGGTTTGTTATAAATTTCCATATCAGAAAGAGAATTCAAAGTTGCATAATCAGTGTTTCTTTAAATCCCTGCAACACAAAGTTGGTACTAGCTTACCAACCTGATCTATGTCATAACTATTCTAACTGTGTTCATTAGTTTGGAATCTTTAAGTTATAGTTTAATTTGGTTACAGAATTCTGTCTTTGAAGGAATTTGCGCATAGTTTATTTATTTTCTTTATAATTCTTTTTAGTTTGCACATAGAAGGCCCTCAGATCCTTAGTTTATATTGCTCTCTCTCTCTCTCTCTCTCTCTCTCTCTCTAAATGTGTGATAAAGTCTCGTGCATTGGGCTTTTTTATTCTTTTCATTTTTTATTCTCTACCTTTTTTAATCTATATTGTAGGGTAGCAGTGGGTGTTGGGGACTAAATTTTTGTGCTTGTGTGTATCCTAATTTGAAAATTAAAAAAGCATGCATTTTTGCTGCTCATGTACAGGTGACCTTCTATTTTCTTTTATTTGTTCCATAATAGTATTTTCAATGTAAAAGGCGCAACAAATTTGCCGCCTCAGGAATTTGGATCTTAAATCACCCAAAATACCCTCATGTAACTGACATGCCTCTTGAAACTCATTAAATTCATATTCATATTCAAATAAAAATATATATATTTTTTGCAAATTTAACAACATATTCATCCATTAAGCACAGTAGTTATAAAAGAGAGGGTTCTCTCAAATCCAATTGGACTGGAGAATATTGTCAGGTTATGGGGTCTATCATCAGTCTCACACTAATGATTTGAACCATTTATTTTCTTATTTTATGTGTAGGCCATTCATGAAAAAATCTAGGTTGAAATGATATTCATAATTACATAATTACTTTATGTTTGTTTTATAAAATAATAAAATAGAGGACGGGTATAATTTTGAAATTAAATTTTTTTTTTAATGCCAAAATATAATAAGAATAGATGATTATGAGTGTCGGATTACTCTCATTTATTTATTTATTTATTTTTGTGTGTTGATAATTTACACATAATATCTTACAAAATAAATAATTTAGATTGTTAAATTGACATTCGTAGGGGACTTTACGTGTCGCAATAACACTCGATGTGAACTGGGGGGGAGCATTTCTTAAGTTATAATATAATAACTTGAGTAAACGATAGGGCTGAGTAAGAATCCGTAAAATTCGTAATCTGATTCGGTCCAGTCCAATCCAGTAGGTTTGGATTGGTTTTTTGAATCCGTAGTTTGGTTTTGGATTGAAAAATTAAAAATCCATAGTTCACAAATTGGTTCCGGATTGAACTCCACGGTTTCGAATAGGAACCGATCTAGACCGTATACAAATAGTCTATATTTATATTATACACCCTCTCACATAGTATCTTCTCTTATTTCATATAAAATCTAAATCCAAACCTAAACCCACATAGTATCTTCTTTTATTACTTTTGCTTGTTTGTTTTTAGCTTTAATTTGTAATGCTCTAAATACTTATGGTGGAACCAATTTTCTTATGGTTGTTTAAATTTAGAACAATATGTCGCTATTATCGAAAGATATGTTGCTATTGTGGAATTAGTATGACGATATGCTTATATTTTTATAAAATTAAAATGTTCTATATATTTTTTTGTTATTTAAATATGTGAATCCGTGATCCTAAACTGATCCAATCTGTATTTAAATGGATTGGTTCCATAATTTAAACGGATTGGATTGGTTCCAATTTTTCAGGTGCCGTAGATAACGGATTGGTCCTGATTTTATCCAAATCCAGGCCATTCTAGACCATGCTCACCCCTACTAAAAGATAGGGGTACAATGTACTTATTGAATTTGCTAAAATTTGATATTACTATATCTTGTGCCAAATTTGATATGAGTTTTTGCAAATTGTAAAATTTTACACGTTTGGTATGATTGAATGGGCGGGAATGAAATGCTCATTATAGCTTTACATTTCTTTGTTTTTTTTTTTGGTTTAGTGTGCCTTATTTAAGTAGGAATGGTCATTCCATTGGAGTGGCTATTCTAACAAAATGTGAGAATGCTTGTTCTTTCTTTCAACCTAAAGAATGGCCATTTCATTACATTCCATCATGAAATTACCTTTAAAAAATTTTATTATTTTTTTTGGTGGTACTTAAAAAATATATATTATTATTTAACTATTACCATCATTTCACTCTGCTATTACTCATTCCACAACCCTACTGTCACTGCCACTATTATCACTACCTTATTGCCACCACAACCACCACCATGGTTGCCACCACACCACCATACTACCGATATCGCCACTACTACCACAACTATTACCACCCCATCCACAACCATAAAATCAACACTATCACCTTTGTTAGAACCATTACCCTACTATCTTTGCTCTCACTACTCACTAACTCTATCACCATAAGCACTACCTCACCATTACTATTAACACCTTCATAAACATCACACTACCACCATCATTATCGCAAAAACCACCACTACCACCATTGCAACCACAACACCACCTGACTACCACCACTAAGGCCACAACAACGTGCTACCACCACTAAGGCCACAACAACCTGCTACCGCCACTAAGGCCACAACAACCTGCTACCACCATCATACTATCATTGCTATCACCATCACAGATGTCACCATTGCTGTCACCATCGCCACCACTACTACTACTCATACTATCACTTCCATAATTATCAATATTATCATGATATATATAATTTTTTAATTTATTTGTTACTAGCTTGTTAAAAAAAATAATAATAAATATAAAAAAAAAACTTATTCCCTTTCATGAGTTTAATAGGTATAACCAAACGTAGGTAT